CAGCTCACCTAGGAAACATGTCTCTTTAGCAGCATGACTTCTGTGGGCAGGGAGAATGGAAATGAGAGTAAATGGGAAGCAGCTCAATCATTCAAATGGAAGAGGCTGTAGCTTAGCCAGTATTCACCCATGCAGACAGAAAATGGAATGGGGAGGAAGAATATGGGCTGAGATTGAAAACACCTGGGTCTCTCTCCAGTCCCTGTCAGTGATCTGCTGATACTACTAAAAATTAAGTACATGAAAGATAAGAAACGAGAGGCTTCACATCATAAAAGAGAGAGCAGTTCAGCACCTGGATTCCTGCCTCTTCTGCTGATTCTCCATTACAAGAGAGTTGAAAAATTACTCAAGGGAAACAGAGGACCAGCACATGGCCCAGGCACTGCTCCTATTCCCCCAAAGGCTTCCACTGAACTCCTACTGCCTCCATACTCATGGGAGTGGATTTGCAAGTAAAGAAGTGATGTGCCCAGCTATTGCAGATGCTTGTAGTGTAAATGGACTCATAACGCTAGTCATCCTTCCAGGGACTTTTCATTTGCTAAAGTTCGGAAGGGATACTTCCAACACAGGATGCATACATTTAAAAAATCCCTAATTCTATTCCTTGCAACACCTAAACTCAGTCCATCTGAATTAAAAAAAACCCTGTAAGTTGAAAACTCTTGCTTGCATGTTCACATTTATGCAGTTTGTTTATGTTTTATCTTTCTCTCTGGTTGGGTAGTGATGTGACTAGACTACTTAATGTCATGCTCTATGTCACATAAACCAGGTCCTATGCTATAATGTGTGGATGATTAAATAAAAATAAAAAATTGTCTGAATTAAATATCATTACATAAACACACATATGCAAGCATACACACGTACACCCCTCTTCTTAGTGGATCAGATTCCACTTTCAGTTTTAATCTGAGAGAATTATACTGGGGTCAGTGGAATCACATTGGTTTAAATCAGGGTAAATGATGGAAATGTTTTATTTATTAGCTTTTGTTAATTATTAGGGACCCAAAGTCACTTGCCAATGTTTTTGCAGGTAACAGCTTTGGAGTATTTGGGTTTTAAGGTATTTGTTTCTCTCCTTTTGCACTGGGTAGCTATTCAGAAGTCAAAGAAGGGTTTTGGATGATTTGCCTTTTATAACTCTAGCTGGCAATTTTTCTAATCCGTCTATAGTTTATGTAGGCCTTCTCGGAACTTACCAGTGCATCTCAACCTTCCTCAGAGGAGAAGAGAGAGACTGAGTACCAGTCAACATTAGGAGAAGTGCTGATTTCAAGGATGGAATCTCAGTACTCAATGGAAATGCAAGAGAGATATATGCTTTTTCTGCTACAAACAACTCTAATCAAGATAAATCCTTGGTAAATTCTTTGAATTCTCCCTGTAGTGTCATTTTGAAGAGAAAGCAGTTTCACTTGACTCTACAGCAGGGGTGCTCAACCACTGGTCCATAGGCCAAATGCAACCTGTGTAGCCTTGGCATCTGGACTGCTGGGCTACCCGCGAGTTGGGAACATTGGCAGCAGGGGCACAGTGGCAATGAACCATGCCACCCAATCCCCACTGCCAAATTGCCAAAACCCATGTGGCAAGTCAGAACTGGACCATGCTCCCTTCGCCCTAGCCCAGCCCTTCTGTGTGGCTGGGTTGGGGCTGGCCCATACCCTCTTCTCTCTGCAGGGACAGGCCATACCCCCTCCCCGTGGGGTTGGGTCAGAGCCAGGCCATGCCTCCTTTTCTCCACAGAGTTGGCTTGGGGCCAAGCCATGCCCCCTCTCCTTGCATGGTGGATTGGGGCTGGGACATGTCCCCTCCCTACTGTGGGCCTGGGCCATGCCCCCTTCTTTTGCATGGCTGGGCTGCCCCCCACCCCTCTCCTCATGGCCAGACTGGCAGAAGAAGGTCTCTCCATGCTCCCCAGGTACCAGGTCAGGACCATCAGGATGGAGCCAGCGTCCATCCTGGCCTGAGGATGGAGCAGACACTGCCCATCCAGCCTGTCAGACAAAAAGGTTGAGCATCACTGCTTTACAGCAAGAATTAAACCACTGCATTATTTCCTTAGGCAGACTGGGCGCTTGAGGAAGGAATTCCAGGGACTTGGATATACAGCTAATGACACCCAAGGCAGGTCTACATCACCACTAGGGCGTGCTGAAGAGAAACAGCAAGCCCACTCCATGTGCACTAGATCCTGAAGTGTAGTGACGGTAGGGCAGTGCTGGGTCAATAAGTACGCCCAAGACAGAAAACTTATTTTCTGTCCTCCTCAGAGCTCCTCAAAGACCGCTACATTACATCTGTGAATTATGTGTGTGGAGTGGGAGTGCCATGATTCACTGCAGTACTTCCTTAAGTGCCTGACATTAAGCTACACATGCAACAAGGAATCAGCTCGGGGGTTGTCAGGAAGGCTAAAGATTGGCCAGAAGTTGTTGAGAAGTTAACAGTGTAACACTGAGTCCCTTGGGGAAATACAGCATTCCTCCATCTTTTGAACATCTGAGGAATATCTAGGCTGTATTGGGAAGCCTTGCCCAAGAGAAGGAATTCTGGACCTGTGAATTAACCCAAAGTGCCAGATCCGGCTCATGGACTGGCCCTGTACCATGAATCCAGCCTGTGGGCTGGAAGGTTGAGCACCACTGGGATAGGATAATGTGGTAATATACACACACAATTAATTAATTCATTTCACTTTGCATTGCTGTAACAGGGTACTTAGGATGCCTCTTACTTTAAGAGGAGGTAAGGATGCTGAGAAAGCTCAGGCAGCAATCAGGGGAGTCACCTGATCAGCAAGGGGCTTGGCTTAGGTTGTATAAAAGTCCAGGTCCTAAGCTGGGCAGGCAGTCTGGCCCTGGATGCTGATGTGAGAAGAGCTCCTGAACAGGCTCCAGAGAGAGACTCCTGATGGAAACCAATAGTGCCTGAGGGTAATACAGCTTTTGGGCTAGGTTAACAGCACTGGTTTAGGGTGGGAGTAAAGGGAAGTAGATATCCCAGAAATTGGTAGTTAGGGGGTACTATTGGCAGGAGAAGGTCTCAACAGTCCCAAAAGCAGAGCCAGAGGCCTAGGAATAAGGCCAGAGTCCATGAGCAGGGCAGGGAAGGGACTAGAGTGCCCAGGACCCAGAGAGAAGCAGGGAAGGGGCTAGAGCGCCCAGGGAGGGGCTGAAAAGGATGGGGCTTGAGAGTCTAGTACCCAGAAGGGGGAAAAGAAGGGGCTGGAGAGCCCAGCCCAAGGAGGGGCTGAGATGGATGGAGCTAGAGAGCCCAGGGCCTAAAGAGGAGCCGAGAGAGTGATGTGGGACTGAGGCTGAAGGCCCATTAGATTGATTGAGAATAGGGCCGAAGGGCCACAGAACTGACTGATGATAATTGATTGATTGGTAACATATGTAAGGCATTGCATGACTAAAAGGGGAAATGTGGAGGCCATGAAATTGCCCTTAAGGCATTGAGCAGGTATGGCTCCTAAGTGGATGAGAGGTCGCTCAGGAATCCCTGGGGAAGCCTCCCATTTCTAAATAAATGTTAACATCAAGGCATGGCAGAAGAGCAGAAGGGGAGGGGGCTTAAAAGTCAGGATGAAACAGGATGAGTAGCCACCTGGGGCCAACACAGCCACCACTGGGGCCAGCCTCTGTTACAGTTGCATAAATAAAGCTTCATTCTGTACCTTCCAATAACAGAGGAGATATAAAATAAATGGGAAGAAGAAGCCAACATTATCTATAAAGAGCACTGGTAGAGATAAGGCGATTCAATACCATTATGATCAAAGACTCATTGACTTTAATGGAAGCAGGTTCAAGCCCTAAAAGAAGAAATTCTCCTTAAATATACCAACTTCTGATTAATGTTTTCTTTTCTGTAAGCCTGTGCCTTGTCATAATCCCTTTTCTTTGTTATTTTGACTTTTTCCATTATTGGTCCCAAAGAAATGTCTTCACAGAATGCTGTGCAGGATCAGGCCTTATTTTGATAATGTTAAGCAAATAACCTTAATTTATCTAAAATCCTACACCAGAAGGGAGATACATTGGATGATCGCAACTAAAAGTTTCAAGACCACCCAAATAAGCTAGGAGCTGAAGTCCCATTTTCAAAGGTAGTTTAAGAGATTTTGGAGACTTAGTCCCATTGGCTTTCAGTAAGACTTGGAATTTTAGGTGTGCAAGTTCCTCCTGAACTAAGACTCTCAAATCACTTAGGTACTTAAGAAAATTTCCCCATGTCTAATGGGTGCTGGACATCTAGCTCTCATACTTTTGTGATTGTAGGATAAACACACCTTCACCTCTCTTATGAAATATGAACTTTATTTCTACCTAGGAGAAGTTTTACAGTCTTTTCTCCTGTGCCTGGAGAAGGGTGCTTGTGTCCAAAAGGTTGCAAATAAATAATTTTTTTTCAAGAATCTAGTTGGTCTAATAAAAGATAACACTTCTACCATGAGTTCTGATTCCTTGAGAGCAAGAGGAATTTATGGGTGGCTATACACATACTCCAACACATGTCAGCAGACCTGATTAATCGAGTTTTATCCATGTTCTAAGTAGAACGCTCTAGCATTGCCGCAGTATCATGTGTATAATCCCCTGTGGGTTTAAAAATGGCCACTGGAGTGCTTTAACTAAAACTTCTCCTTTAGTTAAAGTGTCGCCTGGCCATTTTTAAACATGCAGGGGCTTAATATACATGCTGCTGTGGCGTTTTAATTAGAGTGGCTCTCTAGGAACCATTCTAATTAAAACATCCCCACCCGTAAGCATGTGCATAGGCACCCTATCTTCCTAAAAAAGACAAGTTACTTTTTGAACTGGTAGAAGATCAACTTCACTATTAAGGTATTTTACAGGCATTTTTCCTCATGCATTGTTTTAAATGTTTTCATGAACCTTAAAAGCAATCTGATTTAAAAGTAATTACCTGTGAAACTTCTAATATAACATTTTTAGATTAATGATAGGAAAATATTGTACCTTTCTGAATCCATCTGGTTCTTCCAAAGATACAGGAGTCTGCTGAAAAAAAAAAAAAGAATAAACTTGAGATCCCACTGGAACCTATAACTATTCATTTCACAGGGGAATGTTTCTTTAAAATTTCTGGTCATCTGGACAGACTGAAACAGCAGGTGATTTCTGTTTAATGAGCTTTTTAACACACATCAGAAATAAAGCCCAAATGGATTTGGTTTCCTGACAATGTGCGTCAGATGCAATGCCACCTCAGAAATAGCTTTGATTTTACTGACACCTATTGACTAAAGGTATGTTTACACAAGCTACTTGGACAAAATCAGCCCACATTACAACTATAGAAATACTAATTTCTATAGTATTATCTGATTAGTATTTCTATAGTATTTCTGTAGTATTACAGAGCCCATGCTTCACCATCTCTGCAAATCAAAGGGTTTGTCACGTAAAAAAACTTTTCAGTTTAAAACCAACTCTTGTCAAGCTTTTTAGAGGTAAGGATAAAGATTTTCTTCTACACCTTAAGGTGAAGATTATCTAAAATGCCAAAGGATTTAGGTGCTCTGATATTTAGCTGATGAAGTTAAGACCCCTTAAAGAATTGTCTGCAGAAAGTGCCAAATATTAACATTCTGAAAACTATATTTCCTTAAGGTATCTTAGAGTTGCCTGACCAAAATCACTTGTCAGTTTAGAAAATCTACATAAATGTATCTTAAGCTAAATGAAAATATATCATCCTTTAAATTCTATAATGCATAAACTCTACCTTCTGTAGAATGCTCTTATATATAACATTCTTATATAAAGCTATTTTTTGGTTCTTTCATGAAAAGCCATTATAACTGTCATCCTAAAATATTACCTTTTTACCCAAATCCAACTCTGGGGTCTCCCACTGCAAAGTACCCACCTTCCTCAGTCCTCAGTCAGATACAACCCCAGCAAGGAAGGAAGGATTATAAATATTATAAATTTTATAAATACCCCATTATAAAGGATGTGCAGAAGATTGGTTTCTTTTAGAGTTACTTTCTGCAGCAGACAGGTCAGCTCTTGGCTATAATGATAGCTCTGATGTGCACCATAGTGCAGGAGAGAGTTATACTAAATGGAATCTGTGTGGATATAATCTGGCTTTGGTAGCTGTGTATGGAATATTCTGTGTATAGAGGAACAGGCTGCTGAGGAAGGCAAGGAAGCCTCAGAATGGGATTTCCTCATGTGAACAAGATAGAGTTACATATACATGCACACACTCACCAGCTCTAGGTATATTTGAGATATTTTGACTCTTGGGCCAAATCTTTGTCTCGGACGGCCGGAGCCGACTCGAGATGATTCAAATATCACTCGGTCGTTTGGGCGGGCTGGTGAATGGAGAGGCAGACACAGCTTATTGGTTGCAGAAACTTTACTTACGCCGCTTGTAGCCGCGACGCAGGTGGTCCGGTCGCTTGAACAACTATGTGAGTTGCTCCAGCTGGCAAGGCTCAGGCCAGCTAATCCGTCCACAAATTAAGCCGGCAGGGAAAGGGTACGTCGAGGATTGTGCTCGGCGACGGGGAGAAGAATCGATAGGTGATCAGTCTATCGATCAGCTCAGCCGCAAGTCAGATCTCTTTAGAGGCACTCTGCAGTGTGCTCAAAGTTCGCCGACTTGGGCGGAAGTCGCACGAAATTTTAAACGGCTAGCAAGCCAATTACTAGCCACCACGTAGGAATAATTTACAACTGGCCAATAGCGGAACACAAATTTGCATTCAAATGGTGGGAACTCTCTTGCACCGAGGTTTTTCTGTTGCAACAAAAACCTTTGCTGTGCAAGAGGCTCTCATGTGGCGGGAAAATTCCATCGTGCCGAGGCACCAAAATCACTGGGTTCTGACACTTTACTCAGGCAACCAACATATGTTGCTCATCTGTTGTGTATGCACATGCATTTCAGCAATTCTTCTACACTTCAAGTTAATGGGAAGCTTGTGTATTTAGTTGGATTGAGACCAGACCACTCAGCACCCTGAAGTTACTTATGGAAATCATGGAAAAAGTTTACAATGTATTTAATGTTATGAATTTTGGTGCCCAGTCGCTTACTAATGAATCAAGGCTTTCTTTGAGCTTAGACTTGTACAGCATCCATCGGTAGCGCAGGTTCTCCAGGTCTTCAGAGTTCCCGACAACTGGATGAAGATGAAGAAGATCTTCAAAAAGATGCTGACCTTCAGGAACACGAGACTGAAGCTCCTGCAGGGAAAGAAAAGTTAATCAACAACCCTGCATTCAAATGAATCATTGCCTTACTCATCTCAGAGACTTATTCATGTAGAAGCACACTAGCATTACATTAATCTGTTATGAACACTGGGTTTACAGTTATTATTTTATTTAAATTTTGCTCTCAAACATCCATCATCTGCAGGGTTTCTCATGACCAGGACTTTTTTTCACTAGCTAGGTTTACTACTGCTACGGTTTCATCGTTGAGGGATTTGACTGTATTTATCTGACGTTACAGCACTGAAGGTAAATAATTAAATCATATTTTAGCCACAATATTATGTTTAATATCTCTGCCATACAACACTGCTTGTAACACTGGAAAGTGTAATCTGCCACTTGACAGAGCTGTGGCTTTTATAGACCTTCCTTCCAGGAGTTGAATATCTGTCATAAATGCCAGGACTCCCCAGTCCTCTGTTCTTCCCTCCCATAGGTTTTACAGTAGATGGAGCGAGGGGAAGGAAAGAGGGGAGGTGGGACTGTAAATACCCTAAATGAGCCTTCCCAATCTTTTAAAACATGAAATCAACTGTCATCATAATTTCTGCACACGCAGTAAACTCATGTCTGAAAACAAACCTCCAGCTTGCTGTATTTTGCTTCAACTTCATCGACAGAGGAGGATTTTGTAGCAAGATTTTTGGTTAGCTTGGCATTTTCTGCTTCTAACCACTGCTCAAAGTCCTTCATGAGTTTAAGATGGTTGCTATTCTTTCCCGCTTTGCTCATCTTCTCCTGGGTACAGAGCAGAAAACAACAAAATACATTTGTAAAAGAAGCGCATGTTTTTACTGCTACCCTCTGTCACGAACAGTATGATCATGCTCCTGTTCAAGTTAATTTTAAAATTCCCATTGGTTTCAATAGTACATTAACAGGGCCCAAGTCTGGTGTTTCCCGTCTCCTCTCTTCTAGGACAATTCTGCAAGATGTAATTACTTCCTGTTAGATGCTGTGTGCCTTCAACTTTCACCACAGTAAGTATCACAGGCTTGCAGTTAAGACATTTTAGGGCCTACCCATGGATTCCCTGTGCAGACAAAATCCCTATGATTTCAGTTGAACTGATTCATGCATACAAACAAAGACAGGAAAAGGAACAGAAGGAGCCATCCATCCAG